CCAGCCTAGGTTCTTGGTAGCTGCCACCAACAATGGAGTCCAGGCTGCTTGCAGCAAACAGCTAGGAGGCTGCAAGCCCTGCTGCAAGCAGCCTGCGCTCGATGGCAGGCAACAGCTGCCCAGAGCCTGGGCCGCCTGTGATAGGCAGCTGGGAGGCTGCAAACAGCTGTGCTGGACCCCATGGCAGTGACTACGCACGTGCCCCGGGGTGCATAGGCGACTGGTGCCACCTTTTTCTCCCCAGCACCACCTGGCATGACGAACAATGGTAATAAGCTGATGGAGAATAGGTTTGATGGCCAATCTCGCCGACTGGGGGAGTCCCCCCCATGGCCAATCTCACTGGCTCTCGTAAGTGGCCACAGCACTTCCACTCCCCAGTGGGCATTCGCAGGGGGGCACCGGTGCTCCTGCCAGCCCCTTCACCTAAGCGGGGAGTGTGGCCTGTCAGGGGGTGCACCAGAGCTCTCTGGGGGTGCACATCTACCCCCTATGCATTGCCACTGCCAGGGTGCATGGCTGAGAAGGGGCCTGAGGCAGTGCAACCCCGTGCCCCTTGCCCGCCATGTACCTAGGGCTGTGCATGCTGCCGCTGCTGCCAATACTGCCACTGAGTCAGTGCTAGGGCTTCAGAGCTCCAGACAACAGCTGCCCAGAGCCTGGGTCAGCTGTGGCAGGCAGCTGCACTGGGGTTCAGAGCCCTGGCTGGGCTCCGTTTCAGTGGCAGCTTCATGTGTGCCTCTGTGCATGGCTGCGAAGGGGCTGAGGGGCAATATGTGTGCGGGTGGACAGGCGGTCAGCATGGAGCTAGAGCAGCTCTACAAGGAGCGTGGCATGCCTGGCTGCATTGCCTCAGGTGCATAGCCCACAGAGCTGGACATGCCACATATCATCGCATTGGGGCTGATGGGGCTGCAGCGCAGGTGAGCAGGGTGGGTCAGGAGTGGTGCAACCTGGGATCCCCCCACAGGAGGCAGGGTGGTTGTGGGTTTTGCTTCCTGCTGGCCACAGCCCCAGTGGAGGGACTGGCTGCCTTTGACAGCCCACCTGGGCAGGCTCAGGCCTGTGCCATATCCATGTCTTGGGGTTTGTCTTCACCACATGCGCAGCCCAGGAGGCATGCCCAGGTCAGTGAAGTGGTGGTCTGGAGCATCAGACTTCAGGAGACAAGGGCATTGTGGGTAGAAGCTCCAGGTCAGTTGAGGTTGGATGTGCTGCCCCTGGCTACTTCCTTGCCATGTGTACCGAGGTGTGTATGCAGCTGCTGCCAGCAATGAGCTGGGCCAGGGCTCTGGATCCTGGTGCAGCTGCTTGCAGGTTTGCAGCAGCCTGATGCAAGCAGCCTGGGCTCTATGGCAAGTGGCAGGGGCCTGCCCAGAGCATGGGCTGTTTGCAGAAGGCAGAGGTCTGGAGCTATGGCCCAGGTTATTACCAGCAGTAGCTGCATGCATGCCTCGGGAAGCACCATGGGGAAGGGGCCAGACCTGCATTACCAAGACCAGCATCAGGCAGCTTGTAGCTCTTCTGCTGTCTACCTCGGGCATGCCAACATCTTCAAAGTTCAGGTTGCAGGGTTTTATGGCACTCAGCCCAAAAACATTGCAGATCCCTGCTCTCGTGTGTGCCTTTCATGGGTTAACCAACTGAAAGATTGGATTAGATGCTCTCTTAAGTTGTTAGATGTGGATAGGGGAAGGTATTTAAGAGTTCTTCAAGGTTCAGAAAAGACGGATGAATCAATTTTGGTGGTTCAGCTCTTTGAAGGAGGTTGTCCTCTGTCAAATGTAGATTTTGTGGAGGTGGCTGTGGAATTGGAAGTTATTTAATGACATACTATCATGTGATTTTACCATGTAGGACTGTAATTATTGAAAAGATTTTGGGAGCTAAAGTACCTAAATCCTGTATAAAAAATCAGGTTTTGTCTCAACTCGCTTAGGCCCATTTTACCATAGATCAGGGGTTTTCAACCTTTTTTGGTTGGTGTACCCCCAGCAGCTGGTCGAGAAGCAGGGTGTCTCCTGGTGGCCAGTCGATTGAGGAGTGGGGGCAGGGGGAAGGTCCCACTACACATCTGTGGCAGCGAAACCAGAAGTTCTGGCATTATGCTGCATCGGCAAAAATGTGCTGGTGGCATGTAGTGCACAGCATGCAAGCACCATAAAGTTCTGGCAGCCCTGCCCCCTGCTTCTCATTGCCACTGCTGCATACCCCCTTGGACCTTCCCAAGTACCCCCAGGGGTGTATGTACCCCTGGTTGACAACCCCTGCCCTAGATCCTTTTCAACAGGCACTAATCTCATTTTTCGCTTGTGTGAAGATTATCATCTAAGAGCATGGGTGATCCAAGCCAGATCAAATGTCACTTTGACAGTAGCAGACGACCAAATTAAGAATTGAAAGAGGTGAAGGATATAGGAAAAATTCCAGAACTTGCACATGACCGAGGGAGATGTGGCAAAGATGTATACACAAGCATGTGTTTGAGTCTGAGCAATTTTGAGAAGTGCTTGGTTAGCTCTAAGAACTTAAAATTCGAGAGTCTTGGTGGGAAAAAATCCACTAAAGAGAGGTGACTTAAATGTTTTTTGCTCAATCGTATTAATGCCAGGTTGCTGCCATGGCACTCATAGTTGAACACAAATTCTCATCATGGTTAACATGTTCGGAAGTGATTTTGGCAACCAGGGCTGTCATGCTTCTTGAAAATAAATGAGACTCTGTTTTCAACTGGATCCTGTTTAGATTTTTAACACTGCAACAGAAATCACTCACTGCTGCTGGCCTTGTAATTTAAAAAAATAAACAAAGCTAAATTTGTACTTTCAGTTTAGCACACTTAAGCTGCATTAAGCGCTAGTAATTCTAGTGTGTCATTTTGCTCTGTGGAGTCATCCTTTCCCTTGCATGCTTTCTACTTAGGAACCTTACCACTGAATTAGTTTGAAAATGAACACAAATCTTTCCTCATCTTAGATTTCCATAGGTTAGAGAGGTTTGTGCTTTCCAGTCTAGGGTACTGGGAGTCTAGCCTGTCATGAAATGATATCAGATTGATTTGAAAAGGATGCAAATCAACTTTTGTTTTTTTTTCTTCCCAGGGTCCACTTACAGTGTGCTGTCCATAATGCCATCTGATTCAGAAAGCAGCAGTTCTCTAAGTAGCATTGGTACGTATTATATCTAAGCTCAACGTGGGAATCTTCTGTTTGAGGGAGTCTGGGGAGTACAAAAAATGTTTGTTTAGCTACTGGATAGCTGAATGGATCTCAGTGGTTTTTGTTTTGTATAGTAAGTAATATAACTGTAGCTAAACCATGGGAGACTTGCATGTCTGCACGATGAAAAAGTATACTTTGATACTGCAAGGTTAAAATATTTTCATAGCTAAAGGTAATTGCCTAGAAATAGCTGCCAATAAAATCTTCTAAGCTTGGATGAATTACATGAAATAGCTAGTTTGTTGAGTTGCATATTAAATGTTTATAACAGCAGTATTGATAAGATGATATTTATATATTTCAATTTTTAAGTTGTAACAACATAAACATACCTGAGAAACACAGAATAAAAAAAGTTATATCCAACAGTATCTAGTTTAAAAAAAAATACTAGCAGTTGTAGGACTTGAATAATTTGAAATATTTTTTTCTTACATTGTTTATTTTTAAGGGAACTCGGGGAAGATAATGTTTGGGGAGTGGGAGAGAGATAAGTGATCTAAAATATAAAAGTAAAAGTTGAAATACAATGAAAAAGCTGGCAGCAAAAATTAGTTTCACAAATACAGATGAAATGGTTTTGAAATCTGTATAAAAGTGATTAATCTTAAAATAAAGTCTAGAGTTGTTGCATTTTTAAGTTCCACTTGTTGTTTCAGACATCTGTAGACTTCTCTGACAGCATGAGGCAAGTCAGTTGTCTGTAAAAGGATGTTGGGAGACATGTTACTGGGTTGAATTTGTAACTCAACATGAATCAACAGGAGCTTTCACTCCTGATTAAAACTGTTTGCTAGAAAAATGAAAAGCTGTGACATGTTGGTGTGACTCCTATCAAGCCAGAACATGTATGGCTGCTTCCAGCATTGAAAGCTAGAAAAGGCATATCTAACAAAAGATTTTTTTAGTGCATTGGATGGACATACTAAAGTGATTAGAGTGTGATTCTTTCCCTGTAGGTAACTTTTTAGAATTGTAATAGAGAAGAGGAAGCTGAATTGATAGTTGTCTTTTAAAAAATGGGGGAAATAAAACATTTTACTTCAGTCCTGCCTCTCCAGCAGTGCACTTCTGCATACTATAAGGCTAGGGACAGACATTACACACAAACTATTTTAAGTGATCAGAAACTGTTTTAACTGTAACAGAACAGATGTTCAGTGCGCATAAACCAGTTTGAAAATGGCTGAAACTGGTTTGAGGTAAACCTGGTTGAATGGAGTATCAGACTTAACAGAGCTGGCTCAAACCGGCTTGTGCAATGTTTGTGCCAGACCCCTTGTTGGTTTAAGACAAACTAGACATCCCCAGCATCCCAGCATGCTCTCTGGGCTGGGCAGGGCTCTGCTCCATATCAGGGTTGGCCCCTTCCCTCTGCGTCTCCCTGGCTTCTCCATGCTAAACAGGGATTATTCCCTCCTGCTGGCCCTATGCTTTAGCAGACACCTCCGGATTAGGTAACAGACCACATGCTGGCTACAGTCTGTGCTGTGGGAGAGACAAAGGCAGACAGGCTTCTTGGAGCTAATCAACAGGTAGCTTAATGTCTTTCCTTGGAAACATTTGAGAAGAGTTGTTTGCTTCCTCCCCCTCCCCCCCCCAACTCTCTGCTAAGCACGAATTCCCCCCTCCCCTCTGTCTTTGTTGAGGTACCTGTGTATTAGCCAGTAGACCATATGCTGGGTCTGTGCTAAATCAATGGACAGCTGGTAGTGTCTCTCTGTTTTCTTAATGGGGCATAAACAATGAGATATAAGGGTAATAAGCACTGTTATCAGCTCCCCTCTAATCTTCCCCCCCCCCCCCCCCCCAGCTTGTTTGCCTGTCAGTTTGCTGCAGACAGGATACAGAAGCAGGGAGGGAGAGAGAGAAACTCTGTATCATCAGCAGATGCATGCACTGCACAGGCCCCCCTGCCTCAGAGTGCTAGCCCAGGGCTGCAGGCTGGCAACACTCCCGCCCCTTGAGCAGCAAGCAGGGAAAAGCCTGGGACTCCAGGCAGGGTGGGGGTTCACAACGCTACCTAATCAACCCCTCCCTAATCAGAGCCCTGCTGGGGTCTGGCCATGCCCCCCTCAGTTTAGCTCTGTGGGAGGGCTGGTCTGGCGTCCCCTGGCTTCCAGAGTGAGCCACTGCAGGCATGTGCCTAAATTTCCTCAGTATAGAGGGATTGTCTATATGGCTGGAAACTAGTTCAGCCTAGCCAGGTTAAAATAACCTGCAAAGGTTGAATCCATGGGTGACTGGTGCCTCCTTAGTCAGCGGCATGCCACTTGCACTTACGGGTGAGCACAATCGGCCGCAGGGAGCACTGCTTCTCCTGGCACCCCCACTTCCCCACTGGCACTCTCAGGGGGGGCACTGGTGCGCTCGCCTGCCTGCTCCCCCCTCCGCCCCGCCTGGGAACACTGGCTGAAAGGAGGTGCACCAGCGCTCTCAGGAGGTACATGTGCACCCCCTACACGTTGCCACTGGTTGAATCAGTTTGGGCTCAGGCTTTTTGAATGTCTGTCTTTAGCCTAAATATCATGGCCTCTCTTTTCTTAAGCCTTTTTGGGTAGAGTCTGTGCTCTGCACCTAGAGAAGACTTGCAGAAAGCAAAAGACTTGTGACTGGCTTTGATGCAGCTATGTGCTGTGTTGACAATCCATGTATATTATCATACAATGCAATTATTGTAGTATAAAAGCATTTTGTGAATTTGAGTTTTTTTCTTTAGGAATCATTATTATTCTAGCCACTACCTTAGTGCACCTAATAAGAAAAATTAATAAAAAGTTCTTGTGATTTTGTTAAAATGCAGTGCTATTTTTTATTTGATATGATTAGTGTCGCTTTGTGTATGATGTAAAAATTCTGCACTGCAGGGCATTTCTGTAGATCTATGGCAATTGCAGTATTTTCTGCAGAGCTCAAACTTACTATTCAAATATATACTATATTTATTTGCATACCACACGCACCTTTTCCACAAAAATCAGTCCTTCAAAATTGAGATGTGCATTTTATGTGGGAAAGCTGATTTCCTGTGCCAAAATGGAAGCATGAAATCATGGATGGCAGCTGTAATTCATAGATTCATAGATGTTAGGGTCGGAAGGGACCTCAATTGATCACTGAGTCCAACCCCCTCTGGGGGAA